TCAGTGACCGTTTTGTTATTTTGCGTAAGTTCAGTGACCATTTGTGAAATTAACCCAATAAATAATTATAATTATACATATAAAAAATAAATTTAATATTCAGTATTATTAATATAATATACATTTAAAGAATAAATAAAAAATATATATTTAAATTTAATTATAAATTAGTCTATATAAAATTTCATAATTTAATTAAAAATAGATATTTTTCAGAAAAAATGAATGGAAAAAGAAAAAAAATTATAAGAATACAATTTAATTCTTTCATAGAAAATAGAAATAAACAATAAGAGAAAAAAATAGAAAAATAGAAACTAATATAATCAATAAAAATAAATAAATTTTAATCATAATTATAATGTTCGTAGAATGGAAAATGAAAGAGAAATTTTGAAAAAAAATATTAATTTTTTTTTTTTTTTTTTATGCAAGTCTCCCAAAATCTTGTGGTTAATGAGAGACAAATTTTAAGATTTTATTTTAGCGCTTTCTGCTTAAAAGTTAGATAAAATCTAAATTTATAAATTATGGTGTAATTATGAGAATAATGTCTCTAGGCTCAACCAATCCAAGTTATTTTGGTTTTCCAAAGGGGTCCTGCACTATACCGTGTCTTAGTGTTGGCAAGTTATCAAATGGATGGTAAGTGTTAGAAACATATATACCAATGAGCAAAGCCAATATTAAGACTTAAGTTTCATGATCTTGTCATTGATGAATCTACGGGTGTTTATTTTTACCATTCATTTCTGTACTTTATCTTATAAAGTGTGACATTTACTCTCTTCAAGTCTTAAGCAGGGCAGCTAATCTATATTTAAAACCTTAAAAAATGATTGAAGCTGCAACCAATTTCAAATTTCAGCTTCTCTTCCGTCCTCTTCTCTGCACTCGGCTTGAAAACCCTTATTAGTTATTACCAATTTCAATTTCAGTCTCTTCTCATCCTCTTCTCTGCACTCGATTTGAAACGGCTATGGTTCTTCTATTCTCGTCCTCTTCTCTGCCTCCGATTAATTTCTTAATTTTTTATTTTATTTTTTGAGATGTATACTTCAAAATCTAGTTTATTTTGGGGATAAATTGATTTAGCTTGTTATTTTGGGGTTGAAGTTTGAATGATTTTTGTTGAAGTGACCATGTCTTGGTTTTCCAAGTTAATCGTGTCTTGTTCTTATGATAGTGTTGTAAAGACTTTATAAATTATGGTGTGATTGTGGGAATAATATCTCTAAGCTCAACTAATCCAAGTTATTTTTGTTTTCCAATGGGGTCCTACACTATACCGTGTCTTAGGAGGGTGAATTCAATTGGAATTTTTGAAGACTGATGAACTTTTTTTAAGTGATGACTTCTGTGGATTTCGTTGATTTTTTAAAGATTTGTATGAAATTAGCGAAAGTCTTTTGTAGACTTTTATATATTTTCATTTTAAAATTTTTATAGACTTTTGAAGACTTTCATTTAAGATATAATTTAAGTGCATTTAGTGTGCAATATTGTGAAATCATCACATACGAGGTGATGGTTCTCACAATTCTCC